AATAAGTCCAGTTAATTTATAGCTGAATAATGAAAATACTTTTATTACACTTAGCATTTTTTAAAAATGATTCAAAATGATACGAAGTTTTTATTTTCACGACTTACCACAATGATTTCTGTTCTGCGATTAGAAATAAGTGGTAATTTTACCAATAAATTCTTCGGAAGGACATAGAATAAATAATGCTTTATTTTGTGCAAAACTGATTATCATAAATATTGAGAAAAACGCAATTGCAAATTCTAACACGTCTCTCGTAGTATGTAAACAAATTAGCTTATCGTCTAATTGGCGTTTAAGAACAGAGTGTTTTAATGTTGATTAAAATCAACTGGTTGAAATGAGCACTGATTTATTGTTTTCGATAACCTGCACACAATGAGTAAAAATTCAAACTTTTATATTGATCCACAACCTGTTTTAATAACTTTCGACGAACTTAATGGTTTGGACCTTAAAGTTTTCCAATCAAACGTATGCATGAGAACCCAAATACTCTCTAAAGTATTAAAATAAAAATCACACTGGATAAAATATGTTACCTAATCACGATAGCATTTTACGATATTATACGAATTACCTTTAAATGAAAAGTAACCACAAAATATTAAACATTAATTAAAGTGACAAATAATTTGTTATTACATAAACAGTTTGAAGGCCAGCTAAAGTAGAACAAGCAGACGTGTAGACTCTTTCCATTTATTATATTTACAAACTTTAGAAAAGTGTACATTTGAATCTTCTTTAGACTATAAAGCATGAGATTCTCTGCTGCAATCTCCGTACTTTATGCTTTGCAAGACGTTTTTATGATTCTTCAATTTCGATATACTTTGAATTAACACGAAACCGCTGGGAATTTCTTATTTTCATTTTTACTACTGTTTTTAGTATTTCTGTTTCATATTTTTATCATTTGCACGGTTAGCTTTTGCATTTCTTCTGTTTCATTCGACGTCGATGTATTATTATTCAACGTAGTAATTTAGATTGTTTTCTCTCCATTAAATGATCTTTTTGTCTGGTCACTTATCAAAACCGCTTTTATTTTGCCGGACAATATCATAATATGAATTTAAATCCGAAGTGAACAACAATTCTTAAAACTTTGTTTTTAGTTATATAGTCTGAAAATAATAGATTTTTAATATGTATTTAGTTTTGTTTAGTTCTGTAGTGAAACAAAATTTATTATCAAGTAGTTAAGTATATTAATACAAATAAGAATTTATGTTTTGAATACACTATGGCACCTGTTTTTGTAAAATGATCGTGTTAATTTCTTAATACATTTCTGTATGAGTCACCATTATATAGAAAGATACCTATATCTGTTTAAATCAATTAAGATTGTTCATTAGAATAGTTTCCTATCAATGCTAAATATATTTCTTGATAGGCCAACCTAACTCCGATTCGGGTAATAATGAAACTACAAAAGAATATGTTTTCACCATATTATTAACTTGAAGAAGACTTTTATATACCAACCACATTCAATTTTCCCACTTTCTATATACCTGGAAAGAGTAATGATATCTTTTGAATATCATATAGTTTACTTAACCAATAACAAATCGTATTTTTGAACAATGATGAACATTGTTGTTTGAGATTTGGGAAATTTTCAAATATAAATCTTTAGATATTTTTTTTCAGATTGGTCAATATTTATTTTTTAAGACAACGGTGATTCTGTAATAAGTTTTGGATAGTTACATTTGATTTTCCGTTTAATTGCATTGATTTGATTAACTGTAATAAATATTTAAGTTTCCGAATCTCATACCCTTTATCAAATTTATTTATGGAGTGTAGCTTAGGAGGTTTACCCAACAAGGTAATATACGAAATTCTTCTGAAAAATTTTGACTGGTGGAATTTAAATGTCGGGAGTCAGACGAACAGCACCAGTGGCAATGAGTGATGGTCAGACAAAACAGTTGATTGATTGAAGTTATTTATCCAAACCATTCGATGTCAACTTACTGGTATGAACGCTAAACGCTTTTTAAGAGGACTGAATGTTCAGGATTCGACCTTTGATGGAGTTGTGGAAGAGTATCGACGAGAAGTTTAATGATGGGACGAATCACCTCTCTAGCGCCTCATGTTTTTCAATAGTTGTCTAGCTGAAATTAGTCCATGGTGTTAAACTACAAAGTTCAACATTTCACAGAAAATAATGTCTTAAATGAAAAATACTAAGTTGACCCAGCCGGTTCGATCATTTTTAACCATTGATTGACCACAAATCAGAGACTTCACTATACGATATCATGTCTTGTCCTATCAATCTTCTTCCAGTCAACGCATGACAGTACGTCATGGAGAATGATATTAGATGAAAGTGATGTATTCTTCGGTAATCTTTTCCTGAAGGTTCACAGATTGTTCAATGAAATTCCCATATAAATTAATTGAACAGTTAGTTTACCATAAACAAAGAATAAATATACATCATATTTGTTTTTAGACCGTCAGCTTACTAGGTTTGATAGTACTCAGTAACTAGGCGATTAATCACTGTTCTCGAACATATTACTACTTATTGTCAGATAAGGCACATGATAAAAGATCTCGCTTTCTAGTTAGAAAAAGAATCTTATGTATTATTGTATAGTAGATCAAAGTGTTTCTTCAACATCAATAAAAACCCACCAAGCTGAGTAAAATGCCTACTAGTGGGTGGTGCTTGACATAGTGATCTGACGCTTTTACGTCTTTAAATTAAGTCAAGTGTTGAGACTTCAATACTGAGCTTGAAGTTTGAATTTATCTTGCTTCAAAACCCTTAAAAGTACAAGATGTTTTAATATGTTAACATAATTACACATAACGTTTACTTTAAAATCGAGTACTTTTTACCTACTTCCTTTACGATGAGAAAAAAATAAGGTAATTGTTCAGAACTACAGTGTAAATAATGACATCTGTAATCCAAATAATGTCATTTTAAATCTGAGAGGACTTCCAAACAAATAAGAATGATTGGTTTTCACAAAAAATTTAATTAAATGTTAATTCTCATAGAACGATAGGTTTATGACATAATTCACTAATTTTGTCATTATTATAAATGTGTATGAGAACCGTGGTATCTGTGTTATTCATGATAACACCAATTGAATCTATATTCCAGAAAGATGGTTATCAACTTAATTATTTTGAATGATAATGAATAGTAAAAGGAAGTCGTCCAATGTTAATTGACAGTAGTGAACAAGGCATGCTAATAGTTTCTTGTCTACTGGGTACTTTATTTCAAAAGTAAAACATTCAATGTAAATCAAGAACAAAGGATAGTTTGATTAAGTGAATTCAGTCATTTATATCCTCTAAATCTTCCAAATAAACAGCAACTTTAGAAATGCTTCTGAATGCCTGGGCTGGTTATTCACACACGTGTCTTATTAAATAACCTTTATTATTATTATTTCGATCAGTTTATTTTTCTAAATTTCGACCTACTTTCTATATTGAAGTAATTGTGAGTTTGTGTAACACCCAAAATATCACGTTTACTATTGAATAATCACAAGTGCCCTCTAAATTCATACAAGTTCAATTGATGGACTATGAGAGTAGGAGAGAGAGAGAGAGATCATGATGTAATCTAGAACAAGAAACATATGCATATTCTTACTGTAAAGGGTACCCAAAATGATAGAATTCATAGTAATTATCGAAAAACAGTGATCACTACACTTGTGATAGAAATATTAATAATTAATAAAGGTATAAGAAAATGCAAATACTTGGATAACTAAGTTGATAAGAAGTAATACGTTTTTTCTTGTAATGTTAAGAATAGTGAGACTAGTTACAATAATTATTGTTAGAAATAAAACATAAGTTAACAATTTATGTGTTTTATCATATTTAACTTACCGATGATGTCTGAATGAGAGGCTAGCTAAAACAATATCGAAGTTCCTTTACCCGTATTCAAATTAATGAAATTGTTAGAATAACTGTGGTAATGGACACTAACCGAAATCAACTTCTGTGTATGGCATCATTTAAGTTTGAACTGATTTTAGCAAACACTGAAGGCAATTGATATTTTCGTCGTATGATTTTATCGAAAACACCAATTAACTTAGAAACATCGAATCAATATATCTGTTCCGGAAATTGACACTTAACTTCTTTCCGTCAATCTATTTAGTTTACTAGAAATTATAATAATTACCGACTTGATGCATATATATTTGTATAATAATTCAGATACAAGTGATGTATTGTATGTATGATGTTTTTCATTCAAGTTGAAATAGTGACTTATTAATAAAACAGATTACATGCAAAACATCCGCCTAAAATTTATTATGGTTCTAGTTGGTCTACCGTTTTAAATTACAAGGTCAATTTTTCTTCTAAAATTATGTTTTAATGGACATATATTTATATCGTCAAAAACTACTAGCACTGAGTAAATATGATCATTTATATTATGTTTGAAATTGCAAATTTCTAATTTGAGTTACATACATTCAGTTAAGTAAAATCTTCATGATACGGTTTCATTGTTGTATTCCTAGTAACATATTTACTTAAAAAAAAAATTAGATGAAATTGTGCAGAAAGTGAATTTACTAGTATCATTATAAGAATTGTTAACACAAAATAATTAAAATAAAATGAAAACTTATTGAGTTTTGATAATTTTCTTTATTTTTCTGTTTGATAATTACTTGAGGTTTACAAAAATATCATATAAGTAAATTTTCACGGAATGTACAGAAGAAACAGACGCACTAATATAGACAATATATTTTCTAGGACACCATATAAGAATTTTTGTAGACATTTTATATCGACAATGAAGAATACATAATAATTTATATAAGGAACAAAGGATGGAATAATTTTAAACGTATTTTTGATGGTAACTAGGAAACAGATATTTTTTTATCCAGACTTTTTTTGGATACAGAGTTTCACAAAAAAATGTTAATTGTGTATTCCTTAATAAAGCATTTAAATTGCTATTAAGATATTGTACAATCTAGATAAACTAAATCTGGTTTACATTTGTTTGTCTTTCCACTAGATCTTCGACTTAAACGCAAACTATTACGAAAGATTCCTTGACGAAACTTTGAATGCTTTCGTTCAGTTATACTCACATCAGATAATTCATTACTAAGAGTATTAGGACTGATATTACTATCATTCGATGAGACAGTATTATTAGGTACAGTACCACTGAGCGCAGAAAAATCTGTTTCTTTTATTCCAGTTGGCAACATATTCCCCGATGTATTACTGATTGTATTACTGCCAGTACTAGTAGTTATTCCGGCTTGTTGGGTAGTACTCAGACTAGCTCGTCTAGAACCATCCCATTTAACTAACGTTATTGCCTTACTCACATCATTTTGTAACCATAGTGATTCAAATATTGACATAATTGAGTCGTTTGTTTTAGCACTAACATATACGAATTGTGATGGCTTTAAACCATTTGTAAGCAACCATTCCATTATGGCACCTTCACTGATTTGTGAATATGAATTTGGTAAATCGGACTTATTACACACAACAGTAATTGGTGATGCCATGTTCATGCTAGGTACACAATCTCCACTTTGCTCATGCGATAAGTTTGAAGTTAGAGAGACATAATCTTTACGTTGAGATTTAATTTGTGATAATAGCTGACCAGCTTGTACGAGTGAATCAAGGCTATCATGAGCAAATACAATAACAAATGCACTTGCTTTACTTATGCATAACCGTAACATAGCTGGAAAATCATAACTGCCAGCTGTGTCTATTAAAACAAGTTTTACTATGTGATTACGCACTATGAACTTTTTCAAGTGAATGTCCTCAACGGTTGGTGTATATTTTGTTTCGAAATGGTTATGGAGAAAACGTTGAATGATTGAAGTCTTTCCAACTTTAGCTGAACCTAAAAACACTATTCGTACTTCTTCATCAGCTTCTGATTGTGTCGATGATGTAGGTGTACATTGTAGTATCGTTGGTGAATTATTTACTGGTACATTTTCTTGTTGTTTTGTTTCAGATAATTTCATTTGAATTTGTGGAGGCTTAGTATGGCGTGATATAGATGAATTCATTTTTCAGTATCTTTCTTCATTTAATATATTCCTGAAAAAAAGTAGTTTATCATTCAAGTATTGTCTGATGACACAAAAGTCATTAAAAAAGAATATAAAAACGTATTTATTTTTAATTAACATGTTATTTACGGTAATCTTCTTCATGTACTTAAATGAATTTACTAGAGTGCTTACCTTTATTATGATTATTATTATTATTTTATTTAAATAATTTTTGAGCATAATTTGTCTCTATACAATTATTACTTATTGGCTATATGACACTAGTCCTTAAATTCATTATGAAAGTGTCAAATGGGTGAACCTAATAGACAGATATTATAGAAGAATACCAAGACCCTAGGTGTAGCATGTAAGGTTCATAATATTTATATCCTTTATTGTCTTAATTTTATCGTGTCCACTACGTTGCTTTCATAAGTGTTCGCTTTGATATTATAAATATTGTTTGACTGTAGATAAAATTTATGGTTTGATATGTATGAAATCACCAAGTTATGAGATTCATTTACCATAAAATTGATTATTTATCTCTGGGCTTTTTTCGGAGTACTTTTGTCTAAACCATTGAAGTGAATGAAAAAACCACCTTTAACTTATTTAATTTAGTGTAAGATTAGAAAACATTTATGTACTATCATTAATTCACTTATTTAAGTGAGACATATCTTCTGAAAAGTCTATATGAAAAATTTCATGTCATAACTGAATATCAAGAGGAAACTTGTGCTCGTTACCGACAAGAACAAGATCAGTAATTCGTCTTTTTTCACATTTTTATGAAACACTACGTAGAAAAACTTCATGACGAACATAGCCCTAATTTACCTCAGTGTACTCAACTGAAACTAAGAAAAGCAATGTATACATTTGCATAGCTTGGTACATATTTGTGTTTAGACCAAAATGGCTGATCTAAAATGTTATGCTTTTTTAGACTATACTAGTAGTCGAAGATAAGCAAATTTACCTGAAGAAAGATGTTCACAAAGTAAAAGCTGATCTTATACGTTCATGATGAGGTCAAAGGTATATCAAATCATTTCACCCAAAAGTCCTAAAAGATAATAAACAACAGTTGTAACTTCACTATAAGTAGAGACTAAGAATAAATTATTTTTACTTTCAGGAAGGAATTCCATAATCTTACTTTCGTTGTTTTTCTAAACTATTTTATCTAAAAATTTAAATTTAAAATGTCCGAATAATAATGAGAAAATAACCAGTAAAATGAATGTTGTTTTTATTAAATTTACTATCTTAAAACTGTCTGGAATAACTACATTCAAAATAATAAACCATTTCCTCTAACCATTATTCAAGTGGATAAATATCTGCACTATTTAAATGATGTTTGTGAGTTAATGAATTTAGTGGTATACAAACAATAAAAATGTTTAAAAATACTTCACATATACTACAGTTATCTGTTACTTTGTCATTTCATCTTCAAAGTTTTATTATTTATGGCTATTCATACGGCACATAGTTTCAATTATGTGGTTTTAACCATTATTAAATAGATCTATGAGTTCGTGAAGATGTCTAATTTTTGATTAATTCACATTAAAGTGGATCTAAAAGATAATTTTAGTATATTTTAGTACACTAATTGAAAATTACTTTAGTGAATGAACTTTATGAAAACTTTTCACAATTTTTATCAGTTTACTTTTTCAAAGATTACAGCCATTCTATTGTTATTGTTTAAAATTCTGATTTCAAGTAAAAAATCATTTATTGAGATAGGTCGGAAAACTAACATAAAATTATTTTCCGTCCTTCAATATGGCGGGATTTCTAATTTAAGAATGCGATTACGAAGAAAATGATTGAACTACACAAAACGACTCAAAGATCAATTTTATAATAAGTTTCTAATTTATATCTCAACAACTTACTATCACTTATTGAAGTGTTATAAACAAACATGATAATAGAATGCAGGGACTAATGTTTTAAACTTTAAAATGCTGATTTTTCAGAGTACATTGTAATCTAAACAAAACCAAAATCTGATATATTATCAATGCATCACATCAAGGATTGTTGCAAATCAAAAGAAACTGAAAAACAAATTTTCATATTCTATTTATTTAAGCGAATTTAAAAGAAATCTTTTATTTAGAAGAATAAAGTGAGCGGTTCTTAATCAACTTTTATTTATCAAAGAAAATCTCTGTATTTCTTCCCAAAACAATGCATTATGTAATGATGACTTTATTTTCTGTAAAACTAAAAGCAAATAACTATGTACTTCAAAAGAGGTTTCCTATTTACTCATATATTTCAACACTTTGATAGGTACATGCTATTTCTGTATCATTATAACTAACGAAACTGGTTTCATTATGATTTTGCCATTAAACAACATTCAGATATAAGATATTGTTAGATCAAGCTTTATATTTTGCTCACAATTTTCAATACAGGAAATGGGGAGTTTTAAAAGTCATCTTCATGGGTTGTTTTCATGATAACAAACAAAAACCTAGAACGTGATCCTGTTACGACACTAATCGGTATGTTTTTAAATTGAAGGTTGATTCTATGTTATAAAAACTCTTTACAAGAAAAAGAACCAGAACAAATTTTATTAGGAACGGAAGTTAAGCAGCTATGGACTCACGAATGATAGCAATGAAGACGATAAAGATCACTTTTATGAGAGGCTGCAATCGATCATAGCAAAGTGCTCAGGAAAGAAGCTGACTATCATGATGAGAGATCTTGACTTCAAGGTCTGGGTGAACAATACTGGATATGAAGATATCATGGGACGACATGTAATGTAAGAAATGAACGAGAATGTCGACAGGTTTAATAAACTATGAGCGTGCAACAAATTGGCTATAGGCGGCACAATACTCCACAAAGTGACATGCAAAGCTACATGGATTTCACGGGACCACATTACAGAAAACTAGATCAATCATATTCGTATCCATTAAAAGTCCAAAAGCTCGATGGGAGACGTTATAACTGAAAGAGGAGCTGACATAACATCAGATCACTACCTGAGAGTTGCCAAGATGAAACTGGAGCTGGAGAAGCATTGGACAATAGGGGAAACAGCATTAAAAGAATCAATACAGCCTTCCTTCGAGATATTGACAAACTCAAGGCTGTCATCTCTCATCCTCCCTCTTTCTTCTAGCACCTGACTGGATCATGAAGACCTCGACATCTCAGCGGAAGCACACAATTCAATGAACAGCTTGTCTGCAACCAGATGATTTGAACCTCGCAGATGGCCCGATCCTTCTAACCCATACATACCAACAATTACAGGTCAAGACAACCAGTGTAGCAGTAGACTCTTCATCAACAGGCCTCAACATACACAAGGGAAAAAGCAAGATCCTCAAATACAACACAGAGAGCACCAACCCAATCACACGTGATGGAGAAAGTGTGATAGAGGTGAAAGCTTTCACGTACCTGGTCATCATCATCGATGAACAAGAAGGATCAGATGCAGATGTCAATGCAGGATTGAAAAAGCAAGGACAGCATTTCTACAGTTGCAGAACATATGGAACTCAAAACAACTGTCAACCAACATCAAAGTCACAATCTTCAATACAAATATCAAGACAGTCCTACTGTACGGAGATGAAACGTGGAGAACTATCACAACCATCATCAAAAATGTACAAGTATTTCTAAACAACTGTGTCGGTTGGATATCATCAGCAACAGTCTACTGTGGCAGAGAACAAATCAGCTTCCAGCTGAAGAGGAAATTGATAAAAGACGCTGCAGGTGGATAGGACATACATTGCGGAAATCATCAAACTGCATCTCGAGGCAAGTGCTTACTTGAAATCTTGGATGGAAACGGAAAAGTGGAAGAGCAAAGGACACACAGTATCGGGAATTGGAAGCAGACATGAAGAGAATGGATGGCGACTGGAAACAACTGGAAAGGATTGCCGAACACAGAGTTTGTCGGAGACTGCTGGTTTGCTGCCTATACTCCTTCGCGAGGGGTAACAGGCATGAGATAGTTGATAAGTAATTAGATATAGTACTCTGTCAATCAGCGCCTTGACACTTACTGAATTAGAGATTATTCAGAAATGAGAAGCTGTATGTTTTTAAAACTAGTTAGATAAACATAAAGAAAGAAAGATATTTAGGACCTATTTGCACTGCAAACGTAAGTACTGAACTGATAAATGGTAAAACAATCTATCTAGATAATTGTAATAACTTGACTTAAGTTAAAGCAGTTTACTAATACATTTATTCACTTGATGAATTACAATTTGACAGAAAACTGAACTCAAAAATGAATAAAATTGTGGGTTTTTTGGAATTTTCAAATTAACTGACTTTTTTAATCATCTATGGTGAAAGTTCATGTGACATAACTGAATAAACTGAAAGGTAATGAATAGGTGTCCATGGAATTTAAATTTATGCAACGACATTATGTGGTAGACTCTAAAGGACCATATCGTTTGATAATGGCTACTTATGTTTAACTTACATGAACTGCTAAATTATCAAGTAATTTACATAGTCACTAGATCACTATGCAGTGGATGTAGTTCATCTGGCATTGACGAAGAGATAACACTGATCTCTGTTCTTCTACATTTTTTTTGGTTAATTCATAGTTCAATATCACAGTACTTAAAACAAACGGATTATTAATTTTCCTTTATGTAACAACAATGCAATTAGAATTTTCTGTTTTTCACAATGTGTTTAAATTAAAACTACTGAATAATCTCAACTAATGATAAGTTTTACAGTATAAACAAGAAACAATTTTATTTTGATTGCTGCTTATTTCATGTTTGTTTTTGTAAACAAAAAGAAAGAATTAAGTTCTTTAAAAAATTAAATTCGATATTCTTATGCATAAATATTAAAGCCTTTCTATTAACCATTTGTTGAAATAATAAATAATGTCTACATTTAAAGCCTTAAACTACAATGAATTGAATACATTGTACCATTTGTTGATAAGTGTTATTTTAAATTAATTTCAT